GAAAAGATAATATTGTTTTATTTGGGAACTGAATGTGTTCTGTCAGTGTGCGTACCTAGATCCTCATTCAGCTTTAAAAGAAAACTTCAATCACCATGACACCTTTAATAAATAAGCTAACGGCACTTTACATGGGGAAATTTTATGATATGACTAATGTTCTCAAATCATACCACAAAATCCATGAATATTTCATTACATGAGTGATGTTTCTCGATCATAGCCATAAGATAAGTGAATTTAGGTTGTTTTGACATTGCTTCTTAAGCTAGATGCATCAGTGTCTATTCTACCATAATAGAATCTGCTTCAAGAATATATTTGGTTTAAACCATTTAGTAGGTAACTTAAATTTCACGGTGGTCTATAGTGTTTTTAACAGCATGATAAGGAAGGTATTTTCCTGAAATTTAGGAAGGTTGTCAGAAATTCTGCACTTAATTGTAAATATAGAATGAAACGAGATCTGGTATTTCATTCAAAATAATCTTGAATTTGTATTGTTTTCTTCAATCTAGACACCCACTACAGTCTTGTTAGGGTTTATAGTTGGCGGAAGGGGAGGTCAGCATAGCAGAGACCTGATGCAAATCTCTAAGTTCAGTTTTAGAGACTGCATCAAGAAAATTCTTCAAATTGATTTGTGATTTGTAACTCTGTTTGGACTGAGTAAACGAAATACTGAATGCCAGTCTGACACATTGCCCCGAGATATACCTTAAGTTGGATCAATGTAAGTAACATCTGTGGGACATGTTTTCTTGTGACTTTGTCTCAGACTGGCAAAGGAAATGCACATACTGTTTGTCAATTTAACATGCTGTTCCATATACTGTAGAGTGATCTAATTATTTATATTGGACATTTTCTAGATTCTGTTTATATTTACATGAGCTGATTTCCTTATTAGTCATGGTGCTCATTATTAATTAGTTCTTGGTGCTCCATGTTACAAGTTATATTTTCATTTTCAGTATAGTTCCTTAAGTGAAATATTCATACTAGCTAAGGAATGTGTATATAGGTCCATCATGTATATCTAAATACCATCATTCAGCTGATAAGGGTCAGCCTACACAAGTACACATAGTTGTACAACCTTGAAAAGAATCTGTTGCTGTTAAAACATATATTTCCTCATCATTAGATTATGCCTTTAGCCTATTATAAGTTATCTCAACCATAACTTTAATCAATTATTCAATCGATACCAAGGTTCCAGGAAATACTTGAGTGTGATTTTTTAAAGTAAATACATGGGGGAATTCTGAACTGATTTTCTTGTTTCTCATGGGGTTTTGTTTGCAAGGTGAGATAAGAGAAGGTTGATAAGCTCAATTGAAGAAATGTTGAGTGGAGAGATAGGAGCGAATACTGAAGAGGATGATAGCAGAGTGGACACAATTCTCTTGAAGAAGTGACAGCTTGTAAACATAAGAACTCAACAATGTAGGTTAGTCATAAAACACATGTGAAATATTTAAAGCATTTATAGAGTTGAATGTATAAGACAGTGATGTAATACATAAATGATGATGATATAGGTAAATGTACTAATTTTGTTTCCAACCTATTGAGGAACCATTAACTTGAAGCTAAGGCAGACCACACTCTCACATTTCCATATATAGACTAATAATGGAGAATAAAACAGCTAAATAAATAACAATATGTAGGCAACATGTTATAAATGCATTAGAATCTCCAGGAGAAGGCAGATCTAATTATAACACCATAAATAAGGGTTATGTACTGGGAGGTTTTGGATATGGGGTTTATCCAGAGGGAGATATGCATATCTACCTGAGGGACCGTAGGGACCGAAGGTAGATGTGCATATCTCACGAGGGATGAACCCAATATCCAAACCGACCGTACATAACTGCTTTATCCTATACCAAATAGAGTTTCCAGGGGCATATGGCCATTTCAAAAGTTCAAGGTGTAAAAATAAACAAATTATTCATATGCAAAGTCATTTTATTGCATTACCAGAAGCGGGAAGATATGCACCGGAAGCGGGAAGATATGCACCGAAGCGGGAGATATGGCGGGAGATATGGAGGTTCTGGATACGGAAACCTCAAAATCAGTATACGGGATATATCTTACCAACTTATCTCCCTAAAACTCTACTTGGCATAGGATAAATGGTTTTATAACATACCTATGATGATGTACAGTGCAAAGTGTACACAAGACAGCGGGCCAATATAAGTTTTGAAAAGCCCGCGCCCGCTAACTTTCTGATTGGTCAAGGCGCTGACGTCATAACAAATCAATCGAAGATAAAACTGCGCGAGCAATTTTTCTAAACTCATTTCAATCATTTTCAAACCATTTGTTTGTCAATTCTATAAGAAAACAGTACTCTCTGACCAGTCTACATCATCATAGGTATGTTATAAATCGTTTATGTCACTATCGTGGCACATATCCCCTCGGTTCTCAGAGATCAATGTCCCTCCCAAGGTCGGGCCATATATCACTGAGACCTCGGGCATATATGCCACGATAGTGACATAACCTCTAAATATTCCTCCTTGTAATCACAGGATAATCTTAATGTGGGATGATCAAGTAGTTGTTGACAGTAATGTATAAAATAAGTGATCATTGAATATGTAATATATATAATACTGTATATATATTAATATATACATATATGTAGATAGAGAGAGGAGTATAATAAACTAATGATGAGTCAGGGCTCAGAATGCTTATTAGGTAAATCATCACTGACTTACAGACTAACATACACCTACAAATTAAGGCTCTTTTGAACTTATTTTCTATGTATTTAAATGGACCTAATTGTGATGTTTCTTATGTACCAGACTGACTGTATATCTGATCTGTTGACTGTATTCAGTAGTAATTAACAGGTAACTCATCTAATAACTAACTGAATTGTACAAGTGTTTATATTTACGTGCTCAGTAGTAATTAGGACTTGATACTTACCTGGGCAAACCTGGGATTACCTGGGAGTATGCCCCCAAGTAAAGAACTGACACATCATCAAATTACTTCTTATAAATTGTACCTTGAATGGGCATACTATGATGTTGAGCTCTTTTATGAGTAATCTACAGTCTATGCGCTGTTTGGGAAAGATACATCTTGGATTTCAAAGGTATGAAGTTTTTGTACTGAAAATGAAATTGGTAAGCAAGCTAGAAGAAAGTTTTTTCTTCCAGCATTCATATTTGATAATCCATTGGATATTTTGATGTGAAAGACTACAACAATTATCAACTGAATCAGTTTCGTTTTATATGTTCACAATTATGTTACAGAAATATATAGATTGTAGATTCAGTGGTCCGGAGTAACATGCTCAGTTTATACTGGGTGTCCATAATGACCAGATTATATAGCAATCTGACAACCAAATAGAAGTTACAGGGTGTCCATAATGACCAGATTATATATTAATCTGACAACCAAATAGAAGTTACAGGGTGTCCATAATGACCAGATTATATAGCAATCTGACAACCAAATAGAAGTTACAGGCTGTCCATAATGACCAGATTATATATTAATCTGACAACCAAATAGAAGTTACAGGCTGTCCATAATGACCAGATTATATATTAATCTGACAACCAAATAGAAGTTACAGGGTGTCCATAATGACCAGATTATATATTAATCTGACAACCAAATAGAAGTTACAGGGTGTCCATAATGACCAGATTATATATTAATCTGACAACCAAATAGAAGTTACAGGGTGTCCATAATGACCAGATTATATAGCAATCTGACAACCAACTAGAAGTTACAGGGTGTCCATAATGACCAGATTATATTGCAATCTGACAACCAACTAGAAGTTACAGGGTGTCCATAATGACCAGATTATATAGCAATCTGACAACCAAATAGAAGTTACAGGGTGTCCATAATGACCAGATTATATAGCAATCTGACAACCAAATAGAAGTTACAGGGTGTCCATAATGACCAGATTATATAGCAATTTGACAACCAAATAGAAGTTTTAAAACATGTTCCAATTATGATTAAAAATGCCAATAATTTGCTTATCAATCTAGAATTATTTTATCTTTTATTGACTCTTTAGATGTCATATCATGACTGAAAAATCTTTATGGCTATTACTATTATATATAAAGATTACGACGGCATGTGATCTAGAATTGGCTGTTGAAGAGAGAGGGGAAGGGCAGATAGGCAGTCATTATGAAACAACCTATATAGTATCATGACCACTCTATTGCTATCTTCAGCAACTAATATTATTATATTTTTTTATGTTTTTGTTCAGCTGTTAGTACATATTTCACTATAGGATGATGTGGTTTTGGCTTTCTGGAATGTTTGTATGATAGACATGCACATCATTAATGGTAAAATAAACTAATAAAAATAAGAACTGTACTCCGGGCATTTGGTAGATTTTCAGGAATATCAGCAATCAGCTAAAAGTATGCTTAAGGGTCCTCTTATCAATATGGAGTCACAAGAGGTTATATGCATAGATTTTTATAAATGGTTTCAAGCGATAGATACTTTTATCCTCTCTGAAGAAATATAAAAGCAGAGATTTGGGGAAAGTACAAAATATATGAATTTTGTTATGTTCCCATCACTACTTTACGTTACCACATCCTGTGGACTATATCTTGTTTCTTGTTTCATATTCGAGGAAGTAAAGTGTAGCTGAAGTCAGTCTACGGAGAGATTCTGTAATCCTTGGAATATGTATAAATCATTGAGATCATCATATATGTTCTTGATGATTGAATATGCATGTTTTTGAATGCCAATCAATCGATCAATCAATTAACATTTTTGCAATTTGGACATAACATTGAAAAGGAAATCAAAATCAATTATCACATTAACAATGTCAAGTTGTATCTGTGTTGATACAAACATTGATTATTTATATCAATAATGTATTTATAGTACTGTATTTCCTTTGTATTGTAATATGAATTTAATTTGTTTTTTATTTGTACTTTCAGACTTAATAGACTGATTCATAAGCTGCAAAGAACAAAGATACTCATACAGATACAGGATTAAATAGGATGGTTAAAGAAGTATCTGTAGTTTGTTAAACATTGGAAGCTAGCTGAGAGATTTGATCTTAGAATTATTTATTTATATATTAGAACTGGATGTACCGAATTCTCCCAATTTTGCAATTACTATTTTGGAGATCGTGATACGTTAAAATATAGAATAATGGGCAAAGACGTTTTAATCAAACCTAGCTTAACGCATATAACAGTGTAATTTGCTGCTCATATGAATGCAAATAACGAAGCCTGGATTACGCCACAATACTATGAATGAGTCTCCTGGCAGCATTGTATTTCTGCTGTAAATTGTTAGTTCTTGATATCTTGTCATTATAATATGGAAATGTGATCATGTAGAAATTGGAGAATACCATATTGGATATGACATGACTGATAGTCATCTGCCATCAGCAGAAACCAGGGGCCATCAACTACCAGAAAAACAGCATCAGAAGCCCCGGACAGACGTGATCAGACGACGTGCAATGCAGGCAGCAGAGTATTACCATAATCAGATCGTGAGTGCTTCGCACGGCTCTCGGTCCAACACTGGAGAGAAACATAGACAACCTTCATCACAATCCCAGTCGCAACATAATAATAAACCAGACACATATACCTCACACGCAACATACTCACCTGCAGATGTACATAATGGGGATGATGAGTTAGGACATGATGTGAAGAGAACCCCAGAAGCTCTCAGAGTTGGAGTAACTGCTGCATCATCTGATTCATTCTACAGGGCTAAACTTAAGCAAGGCTTCTTTGATCTTAGGAACTCATATAATGAGAAAATAGCGAGACAGCGGAAGGAGAAGGCCAGCAAGGAAGGTCTGCCTAGTTATGACAGAGGCAAGGAGAAAACCTCTAGGGAAGTACGCCCACATAATTATGAACAAAGCAAGGATAAAACATCCAGGGAAATTGGGCCACCCAGTTATGAGCAAGCTGCAGCAAGAATGGCTCTGAGACAGGATATGTCAGGAACTGATACCTCCAGTAGTGGGGTAAGCAGTCGAGGAAGTGGAATACACGCCATCTCTACACTTGATAGGAATGAGGTCTCTAGGAGTAATAATAGTCTAAATCTGGATTATATAGATACAGATGTTGGTGATGGAGGTATTACCCATGATGCCCCAGTCATCCAGCCACAAACTACTAGTCCTTTACATAGAAAGTATGGAAGTGCAAATTCTCTGGATCAGCTAGGACCTCCTCCTCAGGCGGAAAGTTTCTTTGCTATGCTGCAGAATTATAAAAATCAAACTGAATCTATCGATCAAAGGAGTCATGCTCCGCCCCAAATGCGAGACATTTTTCGCGGGAATATAGAAACTGCTAAAGCCACACCTCCTTCCTCTAATGTTGCCAATGGTAGTGCCACAAATGATCAAGCAATTCCTAATTTAACAGATCACACTGATGCCTCATCTAGTCCCAAACTAAAAAATAAATCAATGAAACATAAAGATCGCAAAACTAGAGCCAAATCCATGAATGATGGTGCGGGGCTTTTCAAAAAGCTACGTGGTGGTAAAAGTGAAGATGCAAACAAAATGGACAGTATTATAAACACAGACTTACATGGTAAATCTGAGGAGGACATTATTAAGCGAAAAGCATTCACTCATTTCGATTGCCAAAGTGTAGGTGTTAGCCTCAATGAGGTGATCAAATCAAGGAACTACTTAGCAAAGCGGCGGAATACTAAAACTGGTGCTTCGGCTGCATCAAGACTCAATAGCTCTGACAGAGTGGAGGAATCTGGTGATGATGACTCAAACGATGAAGGGGATGGCAAAAATAATAATTTATTACAAAGTTGCTCATATTTTAGAAATGAACTCGGTGGTGAGGAAGCAAGAGTTGTATCCCTAAATCGACTAACAGCCACCCGACGAGTCCAACAACTCTTGGGTAGTAAACATTTAGAGTTAAGTAGCCTCATTAGAAAGCCTTATTGTAATGGAGTCGCTATATTAGACTCATCATTTAGTCCAACTGGGAGCCAGGAATCTACCATAGTGACTTACAGGGGACATGTTGTTGAACACGTGGACCATGGTGCCTTCTACTACAGACATTTCTTCTTTGGCCAAGGTAAGGTATTAGATAGCAGTATGTTGTCTCCCTTTTTAGTTCGCTCATCCAGGGGTTTCACTAGAATTTCTCACAACAAGCTAAATAAATGAAAACAACAGGCAAAATTAATGAAAATCATAAATTTATCACGGAAAGTCCTTTAAAACAACAGGTGAATTTGTGAAAACAACCTGTGAAAATTGCCTGTTGCCTGGTGCTAATGAAACCCCTGCTCATCCTAGTTTTACTTTCAACAGACCGCAGAGTTGGTCTTGACCAACAGATGTGCAGAATCTTGAATTTTGGTCAATTTCTGCTGATTCAATCTATAAATTCTCTTAAAGTTTATAAATAATCATCAGTCTTAACTTAATGTTACTCAGCAGTGCAATATGCTCAAAAGGCCACAAAAATATTTCAAAATGGTTTCCAGTTTTTTTTTAATTTGTGACATGACTACTTCTATGGTTGGTGGGGGAAAGACTTTGACATTCATATTTTGGTCATATTTATCTTATTTTTCATCTAAAACTGTAATCCAACAAGCAGAATTGGCCTTTTCACTTGCATATAATATTACTTAGTTTAATGACAGTGAGGGGGGTATATATGTAAACTTGATGCAACACTTACGGCTCTCATTAGAAAATCTAGATTCCAAAAAATGACATCATATCATTTCAGTTACTGTTGCATTTTACGATATTACCACTCCCATATCGAGTATAGAGTTTTCTATAAAATATTGATGATTATCCACTAATTATTATGTCAAAATAAATACTTGTCAAAGATAGGTTTTGTTCATAGCATTAGACAATAATGTCAGTAGATTACTCTGCAGGGCCTGCCAGTCTCTATTCAAAGTGGTGAGATCCCTGGTACTCTTTTGTATTGCTTTTGTAAAGTTTGATCAATCAATTCCCAAGATTTTATTTGAATAGAATATTAAGGATGTTCTGGGACATGTTTTTTACATATGACATTGTCCCCTCAAGTATGTTCTCCTAGAGTGAATATAATATTCTCATTTTTAACAAGTCTCACTAAAGTTGGCTGAAATATGATTATTTTCATCAATGGATACAAGCTCATTTTAGAGAAATATTGGTGGGTGCCTAGCCAAAATTAAGACCATGGTCTCTAGGAAATAATAACCCCAGTATTTTAATAGACTAGATGCGAGTAGAAATAATCTTGATTTACGTCATTTAAAATAACCATAACAATTCAGTCAAACTGATGTCATATTTGGAATCTACATGTAAAATTACACTTAGAAATGTGGTTTTGGAAAGAGTTTATCAACTTTGAAAATTTAATTTTCTTTGAAAATGTGACTTCTACGTCGGGGAGATTCCCCACAGACCCCATGTTGTAAAACCACAAAAAGTGAAATATGTTTTTTTGTGTTGGGCAGATGATATTTTCTTTTACTGGACATATTTTCATTTGTATAACTATCACATACATTAGGGTAATATGAAAAGTGAACCACTAAAACTGATGAATATTCAAGTTTAAGGGAATTTTGTAATACCCTGCCATGTTATTTCCCATGAATCAGCCACGTGGTGGTGAAACGGTTAACTACTTTCTCGCATCTGAGTAATTGTGTGTATGTATGAATCAGTCTACAAATACAGTCCAATGCACATATTACAAAATAAGTGAAATGCCAGTTTCAGTTCACCATATATTTGTGAAGCAATGTATTAAACTGAATTCATCTAACATTGAAATAATCAAGCAATTCATATGTCAGATCCGTCTCTATTAAGTATGATATATTTTTCTATATCTTTATGAACAAGTTCTAATAGATCATCCTTCTTTGAGACATTTCCATTTTATTGCTAATGTAGCTGTATAGACATTTTCTTTTATGATTTTATAACAGACATAACTATACATGGTTTATGTTCAAGAAATGATCCAGTCAGATTATATCTACTGTGTTTGAAGGGACTCAACTTATGTTGCCTTACTAGAAACATTTCAAAAATTAAAACAGTAGTATAGTCACAACAACAGGGACACCCATAAGGCCACTGGTGATTGGGTTCCTCGTGCAGAACATGTTAATATACAATCTTATTTTTGCAACAACATTTTATACAAAAGCAACATCAACTTATAATTTTACATGAATTTTATCAAGCTTAGATTTACAGAAAAGAAGGTATAAATTATCATATTCCATTATAGTGTACAATTTGTTATGATCTTATTTTACTGATTTTATAGCATACATAGAGGATATCCTATGATTTATGAGTGATATGATTTTTATCCACGAATGGATATGATATCTGCACGAGCGAGCGTAGCGAGAGAGTGCAGATATCAATATCCATGAGTGGATTAAAATCATTTCACGAGTAAATCATAGGATGTTCTTTTTATTCCATAGTTAAAGCCATCATCAGAATTGTCGGAAATTAAATGATTTAATTCGAATTTTCCAAACGATCCGGTGATATTGACACTTAGCCTCGTTTTGAGTCTGGAGTAGCAAAAATCCATCAATCATAGCATACGACGCCGTATGTCATGGCTAAAACACCGTATGCTATGGTTAAGTGAAAATTTGTCAAAAATATCATATTTTACCACTGATTACAAAAATACTGTTTTTATTTTTACATGTTATCCTCTGAATATCATGCTAACTATGGAATAAATAGAGATTATCCTATATGAGGTTCAGGATATTGGGATTACCCCGAGGCCAATATAATATATTTGCCCGAGGGCCGCAGGTCCCGAGGGAAAATATATTATATTGACCAAGGGATAATCCCAATATCCTGAACCGACTATAGGATAATATGTTTATCCCATACCAATCTTGGTCATCTGGTTCACATTGTTCAATCGTGGAAATATTTTAGAATATTCATGTCCAGTTTTGTTTTCTTGGCCGTGGGCGGATTTTTCTGTTCTCTCAAATATTCCCACATCTATTATCTCGAATGTTTTAAGTGGATGCTCCTTCCCTTTTTTAAACCATCAAACAGATCCCGATTGTCTGTGTTTTCTCCATTGTCGTTTACAGTCATTACGCGAACGTTACAAATTATGAACAAATATACGAGCGGCGATTATGACGTAGCGGGCAGATATACTATATCTGCCCGCTCGGAGCGGGACGTAAAGCTATATCTGCCCGCTGATGAAAATATAAGTTTTTACAAACCGGCTTTATGTACCTGTAACACGTCCAAGTATGGGATAAATAGAGATTATCCTATATGAGGTTCAGGATATTGGGATTATCCCGAGGCCAATATAATATATTTGCCCGAGGGCCGCAGGTCCTGAGGGAAAATATATTATATTGGCCAAGGGATAATCCCAATATCCTGAACCGACTATAGGATAATATGTTTATCCCATACCAATCTTGGTCATCTGGTTCACATTGTTCAATCGTGGAAATATTTTAGAATATTCATGTCCAGTTTTGTTTTCTTGGCCGTGGGCGGATTTTCCTGTTCTCTCAAATATTCCCACATTTATTTTCTCGAATTTTTTGATTGATTAAGTGGATGCTCCTTCCCTTTTTTAAACCATCAAACAGATCCCGATTGTCTGTGTTTTCTCCATTGTCGTTTACAGTCATTACGCGAATGTTACAAATTATGAACAAACATGCGAGCGGCGATTATGACGTAGCGGGCAAATATACTATATCTGCCCGCTGGGAGTGGGACGTAAAGCTATATCTGCCCGCTGATGAAAATATAAGTTTTTACAAACCGGCTTTATGTACCTGTAACACGTCCAAGTATGGGATAAATGTATATATGTATATAGACTGTATATAATTAAATGTATATCAGATAGAGGTTTGGCTCCTTAAGGTAACGGGTATTGCATCATTTTATAAAAAAACATTGCAAAACATAATACCGATATCATTAATCAACGAGTCACGTTCCAAGATAACATATAATATGCCTCGTTGTAAATTGTCAGCTATTAAACCTTTGAGAATTATAGAAATCTGTAAATCACCGCACGTATATCACCTCTGTAATGCTGAATAAGCTGGTTATTATCTTACTTTAAAGAGAGGCCTTAGGGTTATTTATTAATTGGACAATTTTCCTGTTATCAGGTATCCCAGACTTGTATCAAATCTTACTTCATGTGAACCCCCCCCCCCCTTCCCATTTCCTAATGGCGTTATGAATAAAGTATATGTTTTTGGGGGGAGGGGGGTTGGAGGTAGTAATAGTCACTAGTCTACAATTTATGTTGAATATTTGCCTTTTTAACATCAAATCCTTACGTTATTTTAGATCATCAGAATTACTTTGGAATAGATGACAATTTAGGTCCCATTGCTGTCAGCATACGACGAGAACGTAAAGATGATATAGAGGGCACTACAAAGGAATCATCCAATCAGCCACAATACCATTACAGAATTATAGTACGCACAAGTGAGGTGAGAAAAAATATTTAATGATTACAGTTCAATATTTTTTCTTATTATAAATTTGAACAAAAAATCTTAACATAAATGCAAGCTGTTACATTAATTGTAGATGTTTTAAAAAAACAGTTTTAGAGAAAGAAACTGTTCTTTGAATTTGTAGATTTATTTTATTTAATGATAAAAAAACATTTGTTTTAACATCGTACATCTTCAGACGAAGATGTAATTCTTATTCTACCTGATTAGCCCAGTTGGTATACTACAATGCTATATTTCAGTTGACCACAATCCGAGGCAGTATTACAGAAGATGCCCTCCCCACGTCCAGCAAGTTGAGTAACAGTAAGGGGATCCCACATAAAGAGATCCTGGAATATGCCGTCCCAGAAGTAATGACTAGCTGCCTCAAGGTTGCCACACAGGGTGTGAAGACTCAAGAGCAGTTGACAAAACTGGATGAACAGGGGGTGGGTAGTTGCAGTATTTTATGACATATGATATGATATGATATAAGTGAAAGGTTTCTCCTTTAGGAGACGATTGGGTGGATATTAGTGTGACTTCATATTTGTATACTTCATTTTGTTTTGGCATTGCATGTCGTTAAAAAATCAAACAACTTGCTATAACTCTAACAACCAAAACATTAACAATTTATATATGTGGTATTGGTCTACGGTGCTTTTGTATCAATATACATCCTGAGAATTAAAGTTCTAATGGCTCATCTCATCACTGTCTTAAATTTGAATGTTCACTCAAATTTTCTCCTATTTTCAGATTACTAAGACATATAAGATTGGCATAATGTATTGTAAGGCTGGACAATCAACTGAAGAGGAAATGTATAATAATGGTAAGCAATAAAATAACAATGAAAAAATATGCAGCTTTGAAATATACAGTAAAACTAAAAGAGTTGTCTAATTCTAACTACTGGGACCAATCACAAGTGTTAGAAAAACTGGTGTTCACATTTCAAGGCCTCTTGAGAGATAACAAATTTGGAACCAAGGAAAACTTTGAGATTGAGATATATTACGATTAGAGAGGTTTTAGATCACGTTTTACTGTTTAAGATCACGTTTTACTGTACTCATAAACTGTACTCTTTAACATGATTTTCTTTTCTGTTATTTATGGGAAGAATCAATTTTCTCACACCTGGATTTTTGATTTGAGTATTATTGATATTGGATTTTTATAATGGTGTTAGCTGTTAACAATGCATGTTATTAACATGATGTAACTGATGTGATCACATATCTCTGCCGATATAACACCATTCTGACACTGTTCCATTAACAAGCAATCAAATAAATTTTAAGGGATCAGTGTTCTCCCCAGGATTTTTTCTCAAGTGGTTTCAAAATTCTTATTTTCACATTTAACACCATATTTTGTCAAAATCTATCTGTTTTTCATGATTTTCCTCATTTTCAAGTGTGTTCAAATGGATTCTTAGGTGGCTGCAAGCATATTATTAAAATCTGTGGATGCAGTGCCCACTTACTGTAATGCTGGGGAGAACACTTGTGATGTTTTATAATCTGTGTTAGTGCACCAAATTATGACTGCATATTGCATTGCCAATAATGTATTCTTGATTGCATCTCTATTCCAGAAGTAACAGGTCCAGCATTTGAAGAATTCCTCAGCCTAATGGGGGATAAGGTCAAGCTCTCTGGATTCCAGAAATATAGAGGTGGTCTTGATAACAAAAGTAAGCTTATTATATACCTTCTGTTCAATTTCATATTCAATTTTTAACAATATCTCTCTATATCATCTCTATGATTTAATGTATGTTTTGCTTTTGACACTTTTCAGCTTAATAAAACAATTATTTGTTTGCAATTACAAATATGTATTATGTACACTTTTTCTTATTAAAAGCCCCTTTATGAGTTGCCCTGGTAATACATTTGTTTGTTTCTTTGTTTCAGCTGACTCCACTGGGACCCACTCCCTATATAAATCCATGAATGATTATGAGATTATGTACCATGTCTCCACTATGCTACCTCTAACACCCAATAACAGACAACAGGTATGTATCATCATAGAGGTGTCATTATAAGGGTGTCAGTATAGCATTGTTAATATAATGGTGTCAACTGACACCATTATCATCTCAGGCAAAGCTCAGTGCAGTCAATGAAGAGTCAACTTGAGGGGTTATTATTATAAGGGTGTCAGTTAAGCAGTAGCAGTGCTAATCAGGGTAGTCAGCAGACGTCATTGTCATCGCCATTTAAGTCAGGCCTAGCTAGCTCAGTGCAATCAGTTTAGAGTCCACCTGACCTGTTAACATTTCTACTTCCTCATACATTTACCTGTTAATTAATTGAGAGACTTCTCATCTTCTAACACCTTGATATGTTATTCATCGATCAGGTTCTGTGATACCTGTCTGCTGTAAAATAATCTTTTGAGTTGTTAATTTTTTTAATGTTGATGTTATCCTGTTTGCAATTGCCGACTCATCTCTGATCAGAGAAAATTGATACTGATAAATTATCAAAAATATGCTTTTAAAAAATATTCAAAATTCATCCTAGAGGGTATTTTCTTGGGCTTTGATTGTACATCCCATTATTTGTTGTGTCCTTGAACAATTTAAAGTCATTAGGTTGTGTTTTTCTTTATTTTGCAAAACATTATGTGTATGATATATTCCATTCCTCTTATTAAAAGTGACTAGCATTATAAGGATCAATTTTCCTGCTCTTTACTGGACTTTGAATTACCTGAACCATCAGATCCCTAAAATTTGTTATTTGACATGATGCTTTGTTCTTCATATTTGAATCTTAACAAAAAACATAATTCTATTACATTTGGCAAATAGGTGTCCCTAGCTTTTACTTTGTCTGTTTACAATGACCCGAAGCATTACATGGTTGCGATATTTGCATAATATACGGAGTAAAATATAAAGTGAAGCTTACGTTATTAAATTTCAGTCTTAATTTCTCTTTCTGAAACCATTCTGATGTGAAACTGACATACACATCAATCTAACAAATTGCGTCATTAGTACTCTTATAATAGCTTTATTCTCCTTTCTCTCTCTCGGTTCATAATTAAGCCTTGACAGGAGAGATGAAGTTCATTTGATAGATCTTGATTTAAAAATAGCATTTCCTGGTAGTATTTCATCTTGTGTGTCAATGTTAAATCTATTCTCACTGCGGATGTAAGGTCGGCTGTGTTGCATAAATTACACTAGATTACGGAATGATGTCATAAAGGCAGGTTCTAAAAATTCTCATTTTCCTGCCTTAAGCAGATCAAACAAAACAAATATGTTTGATGACTAGAGAAGTTATAAAGCTTATTAGCATGTACTGGGCATCATTGTTATTGATTCAGTTGTTCTTAATTATTGTTTTATTTGTTTGTATCATCATAAGGCTTCAGATCAAAGTTGAAATTGATCATCTGTTATGATCGAAAGATTTTCTAGATTCATGAAATCATCCTTGATTGTTGCTGTAAAGGAACTTTTTCCAGGCTGTTTTCAGGATATGAAAATCACAAATTTGGAGCAATAGTAGAAAAATGTGTCTATGCTCATTGTATGCTATATTATTCAAATTATGTTTGGTTATTAGTGATAATCCTGGTTCTAGTCTCTATTATGTCTCTAACTTTTTTGTGACAGCGGTCTGTGGTTGGTGTTTTTGGAATCCAGCATCTGTAATATGTCATCTATAACAAATGGTTAGGTGGTGAGATTTTGTATGTTAATGCCTTGTTTTAAATATGAATTCGTTAATTTTATCTGCTTTGTATTAGCTGTTTACCTTTAAACCTATTTTCAGCTTCTACGTAAACGACACATTGGGAATGATATTGTGACAATCGTCTTTCAAGAGCCAGGAGCATTGCCATTTACTGCCAAATCTGTAAGATCTCATTTCCAACATGTCTTCATCATTGTACAAGTGCACAATCCATGCTCCCCCAACGTACAGTACAGGTGAGTCTGACCTTTAGTTGACCTTGACCTTGGTAGTTTAGAGAATGGTGTCATTCAGTTGGAAACTAAGACTGCCTTGGAAGGTTGTTACTTTGAACTCTTATAATTGAATCATACAAAATAACATTAAAGCCTTGCCGGTATATTGTTATTGTATAAGGCTCATGTTAAATTCTAGCATTTTCAGAATAAAGGTAATTTGAGAATTCATGAAAATTGTATCGTCACATATTTAACATTTTAGAAGAAATGTCTTTTAAAGTGACATTATTAGTATAATTAGTTCAAAAATGGATGTAAGTAGATGTAATAATCTGTTGTTTTTGTGTTGTAGTGTTGCTGTAACCAGATCCAAAGATGTCCCTCCATTTGGCCCTCCTATACCTGAAGGTGCAATGTTCTCTAAGTCACAGCAGTTTGCAGATTTTCTACTTGTCAAAGGTATGAGGGGTTCTCATCTTTCCAGGAGTCACCTATTTGTTCTCATTAACGATATATTGCATATTACATGTTCAAGATTAGTTTTGAACAGGGATTGGTGTATTTTGCATGCTAGAAATTACATCCAAACATGACTGAAAGTTAACCCCAACCCTTCTTCCTATTAATAGACATATGATTCTTACTAAACTGGGCAATTCCATTGGATCATTATAGCTGTAGTCTGCCATTTTTAATAACATGTGTTTTGGACAAGTTATTTCATCAGAAGTGGAAAGTTCAATTTTGTGATATATCATCCTCAGATTACTAAGGGTTGATATATGATAAGTTGGGTAACCAGATAATCAGAGCTGGTTTACTTAACTCTTCTGTATTTTTCCAGCCATTAATGCAGAGAATGCAGCCCATAAATCTGAAAAATTCACTACGATGGCCATTCGCACAAAGCAGGAATATTTGAAAGATCTTGCCAACAACTTTGTAACCTCAACTCTCTTAGAAAATTCATCAAAACTAGGTGAGTCTCATACTGCTATACCAGTACACATATTTTCAATAACCTGGGAATAAATTCCTATTGTACCTAGACCTTATCTTTGTGTAAAGATTAACTTGTATTTTAATGGTCTATGATTGACCTTAGTCACATCATCATCATATCATTGCTGATTGGTTGAAAAACATTTGTAAGAAACGAAAGTTATACTCTGAAGCTTATCTCTTTATTTTTACAGGTAAATTCTCACTTGGAAGTGTTCGTAAAAAGGACAAAGTGAAAGGAAAGGTTCCCGACATATCTTCAAAATCTGGTGTTACCTGGGCAGTCTCCATTGAGGATTTTGGTTCATCGCAAGAGGTCGAAGGTTATTTGTCAATTGGGGGTGAACAACTGGTATTAATTGAGGAGCCTAATAAAGAAGTGATTTTTACAACCTCTTGTAAGTCCATCATTGGCTGGACACAATATGAGAGCAGGTTAGTGTGTGGTGTAGAATTTATTTAACTGAATGGATGTTCCATATTTGTTTAATATGATTTATAGGGTTTATTTTGTTTCACACAATATGAGAGCATGTTAGTCTGTGTGGCACAGATTTCATTTAATTAAATGGATGTTCCATAGTTGGTATTTTCAAAAATTCATTTTGCTCTTCGTCTTGTCTTTTGTGCTTTCTCATACTAAAGTACAATCTAAAGTACACGTAAACCTGGAAATTCAACAGGATTAATGATTCTATCTGTCTCCTATAAAATAGTCAAGTAAATTGAATATACATCACTAATATTAATACTGAGCAGAGTATTTGAAAGCTTCCTGGAAAGCTATATATCTGTTGTTTCTCAATATTACTCTAGGTATATTGTGTTTGATAATTTATTTAACTTGAAATTCCTTTGATATTTTTGATGTGTGATTGATAATGTCAGCTCACTTGTAAGCCCATGATTATGCAATTTGTATCTATTGTTATAAACTAATATAAGTGATTCAGCATATCTATACAGGGTGAGCCAAAAAAGGTAACCCTGTACAAGATTATATTTCAATTGTGTTTTTATTAATGTTTCAGTATTCGCGTGTACTATAACCAAGGGGAGTGTATGTTGCTGCGTACGCTGTATTCAGATGTAGATGAGGTCCCAGAGATCATTGCGAGACTAGAGCGAGTATCTCAGGGATACAAGGTAAGTGTTGACAACTAATAAAACTTGTTAAAAAAACAAATAAATAAAAAATATGTCTTGAGATTTTGATCTGTATTAGTGCATCAATAGTTTGATAATAGTCTCCAACTTTTTTGTTTGTGGATGGTAGTCGGCCTCTTGTGATCTGTGTCTGTAACAAATGTCAGGTGGTGATATTTTGCATGTTAATGCCCTGTTAAGTATACGTACCTGGTATTGTTCTACCAGTCTTTTAGATTGAAGATCTGTTTTTACACATGAAAGCCATAACCCCGGATTTCTGTCTGCTAGATACGCATCCCTCTGATTATATTACAAATACTTTTACAGTTCTGATGCAGATATGATCTTTACAAATGGAGTTTAATGGAGTTTGAATATGAAATGAATATTACTTACTTGTAAGCAGAAAATATAATGCAGTAACAGTCTGTCTATTCTGATTGAATATGTACAGTATATGTGCATCTCAAAAATTATTTTCATTTAAAAAATGTCCATGAAGTTGTGGACTCTTGCAATACGTAATCATTTTAAAGACCCAATAAGTGGATAGTGGTAATTTTACATTTCAGACAACTGAGATGGTACTTCGACGCAATGGTATGGGACAACTGGGCTTCCATGTTCATTATGAGGGAATCGTCTCAGATGTGGAACCATATAGTTTTGCCTGGAAAGCGGGTTTAAGACCAGGCAGCCGATTGGTCGAAATTTGTAAGGTTGCTACAGCAACCTTGAAGCATGATCAAATGGTGGATTTATTGCGAACATCTGTGACAGTTACTGTGGTTGTAATACCTCCACTTGAGGATGGAACACCTAGAAAGTGAGTTTCATTTTCACTTCTTTATTTATATTCATTCTTCACAGCATCCTCAATTTTGATATTATTTCAATTTCAATAGATGGTGTAAGCCATTGGAATTTCTGCATCTAGGTACATTGATTATAAATAATTTTAATAAACTGACATAAAAGGAATGTCTTCTCTCAAAGTAGATTAATTAACAATCATTCTATATGAGACAACTTGTTGTCTGTATTTCTTCAAACTGATTCAACTGTTGTTCCAACAGATTCTGCAAAAGTGAATTATTCATATTTGTGTTTATTATAGGATTGCATATTCATTGAAACTTTTTTTATTTATTATTTCCACTTGATATGTTTTATTTTATGATTTTAGGGGTTGCGATGACTTTCACTCCAGTTACTCATCATTAAATTCCCATAATACATCATCATCATCTGCAGACTTACACAATTTGGTAGAAGAGGATATCATGACATCATCCACTCAGAGCAGTACAGTTCGGACTCATCCTCCAAGAAGCGCAACAGATCCCAGGTAACTGATATTATTCACTTTATTCATTGTCCCATGAATCATACTAGCTGGTCGATTCTCTACATATAGCTGCACCATTTCCTGACCTATCGAAAAAGGGTCTCCATTTTTTCAATTCCTAGCTTCAACCCAGTTTAAATGTAGCTATAACTATGTTTAAAGAAAAAAGATGTCACATTGGAATGATTGACTATTGGATGATCTGAAAGCACAGAAAAGATAATAACAGATCTATTACGTCCTCTTTAGTCTTATCCTTGGTCCAAGGTATTTCAATTCATTCCATGAGCTAGGACAGTGACACCCGATCTTGAAGGATGGTTCAATTTGCCAATCGTGTTATCTTATCTTTCTGGATCAAACTATGGTTTCCAAACCTTATCACTAACAGATCTGAAGGTCAAGATTAGGTTTTTCCTTTATCTGTCATAGTCTGCCATTTTATCCGAGCTGAATCACCTTGGTAATAATGAATAGCCAGAGGGAACATTGTACAACAACTCAACTGATTTAAATATTGTGGTAAAATAATGTACTTAGCATATTTGTTTCATACCTTACTTCAAACTCTCTTGATTCACATTTCAACTTCCACTTCTAAGGTGGCTATTGCACACCTCAAATGAGCCACTTGGATTAGCAGTGACACTTAAAATGACAATTTTATGACCCTCAATGATATTCTATTTAAATATGCTATTGGATACATTTGTCTTATATAATCATAACAGGGTTTACTGACATGATATATTTTCCTTGAGACTGTCCTTGACATTTTGTTTTGTTTACTCAAACAATTGATTATTGGTTAGAAATACCAAGGTGAACTAATACTTTGTAAAACAAGTCTTCGCCTCTATGTTGTAAATGTGCCTTGTGGTGTCTCTTTGTTATATTTATTGCACAAATGAAATGAAATGAACGTTGGGCTGATTCTTAGGATCTAGGTATGTTGGCTACATTCAGGGTAGCCATTTTCAATGCTCAGTCATTGTGTCTGTTGGTATTCAGGATCTGTAACAAATGGCAGGTTGTGACATTTTGCATGCTAATGCTTGTTATGAATTTAGTTTTGTGATAAAAACTAATCAATAGCTTTATAAATTTTTCATTTAATGAATTGATTCAAAATTTTCAGGGATTCTTCTGGGTATGAAAAAAATGAAAAACTGATTCAATCTTGGACATGCTGGTTATTAAATTTTAAGGTTCTCTTTCTCTATGTCATGTTGTCCAATATGCAGACAGACTCAAGGACACTGGATAATACTGTAATATTATTTATGGTTAGATGCAGGATGTAATAAGCTATGCAAACAAACTCAAGGACAAGTTATATTAATCTTCTTATTCATTAGAAGTGAAACTTATTTTACAGACAGCAAACTAAAACAGAAATAAGTGTCGTTATATCATGTACAGAATTGTTGATAAAAATGCTTTTGAAAATTATTGAATCTATGGCTTGGACGTCACAAAATTTTATAAAGTGTAAACTCAGAATTCTGCGTGCAAAATTTCATATGAGTTTATGTACAACTATGTCTTGATGCAATAAATTAAATTGAGGAACCTATCCATTGATTGTTTATTCATTGTCGCTTTCCACTGGGTCTAGAGACTCTGGGTCTGAGGTAGGAACAATCGAAACCTTGTGAATCAAGATGTGTTTACATTAGGGTTTCTTAGGAATGTCAAAATATATATATATATATATAAATGTTTATTATAATCAGAAATCAGAACAAAACTCTTGTTTAATAAATGTATTGTATCATAGGTATCAAGTCAGTTTCTCAATATCACAAAACTTTAATATTTTAATGTAGAAATGATAACATACAGCGTAATAATATTGTATTTTATTGTATTTTGTTTACCACCAATGAAGGTGAGCAATACCTCTTGGGTATGTCCCGTATATATACGGTCGTAATTTACGTAATTAACATGGAAGATAGACCCAGAAACCCTTCCTTGAAGGAGCCCTGTGTTTTTTTTTATGTGCACTTATACATAGACATACAAGTACACACCACATCGAATCCGGGACCTATTGCGTAAGAGGTACATGCGCTACCGCTGAGCTACACGGGTGGAATATCATCACCTGATAGACAAATTAAATATGATTTAGTATATGTTAAAAATACAAAAAATGATTTTCACGTATTTTACTATAACTCGCAAAGTAGTGGAGCGATTTTGTTCATATTTGGTATGTGAATACTATAAGCATGACACACTGTCCTATGACACTTTTGGTAGAAGGCGGCCATTTTGAAATTTTTTTTGAAAAGTGGCCGCCATTTTAACGTATTTTACTATAACTCGAAAAGTAGTGAAGCGATTTTGTTCATATTTGTAATGTGAATACTATAAGCATGACACACTGTCCTATGACACTTTTGGTAGAAGGCGGCCATTTTGAAAAAAATTTTGAAAAATAGCCGCCATTTTAACGTATTTTACTTTAACTCGAAAAGTAGTGAAGCGATTTTGTTCATATTTGGTAAGTGAATACTATATGCATGGCACACTGTCTAATGACACTTTTGGTAGAAGGCGGCCATTTTGAAAAATGGTCGCCATTTTAACGTATTTTACTATAACTCGAAAAGAAGTAGAGCGATTTTGTTCATATTTGGTATGTGAATACTACAAGCATGACACACTGTCCTATGACACTTTTGGTAGAAGGCGGCCATTTTGAAAAATGGCCGCCATTTTAACGTATTTTACTATAACTCAAAAAGTAGTGAAGCGATTTTGTTCATATTTGGTATGAGAATACTTTAAGCATGGCACACTGTCTAATGACACTTTTGGAAGAAGGTGGTCATTTTTCAAAATGGCCGCCATTTTAACGTATTTTACTATAACTCGAAAAGTAGTGGAGCGATTTTGTTTATATTTGGTATGTAAATACTATAAGCAGGGCACACTGTCTAATGGCACTTTTGGTAGAAGGTGGCCATTTTGAAAAATGGTCGCCAATTTAACGTATTTTACTATAACTTGAAAAGTAGTGGAGCGATTTTGTTCATGTTTGGTGTGAGAATACTTTAAGCATGGCACACTGTCTAATGACACTTTTGGAAGAAGGTGGTCATTTTTCAAAATGGCCGCCATTTTAACGTATTTTACTATAACTTGAAAAGTAGTGGAGCGATTTTGTTTATATTTGGTATGTAAATACTATAAGCATGGCACATGGTCTAATGACACTTTTGGTAGAAGGTGGCTATTTTGAAAAATGGTTGCCATTTTTGCTATATGCTTTGTTTGTAAAAATGCCATCCATGGCTGTTCGATGGGATTCGCTACGCTTTGGCGTTGCCGTTGTTCTGGTTATAATCAGAAATTAGAACAAAACTCTTGTTTAATAAATGTATTGTATCATAGTTATCAAGTCACTTTCTCAATATAACAGAACTTAAGTATTTTGATGTAGAAATGATAACATACAGTGTAATAATATCATCACCTGAGAGACAAATTAAATATGATTTAGTATGTGTTAAAAATACCAAAAATGATAAGCAAATATGTATTTTATTTGACATATCATTTTCATTTTATCCTGTTAAATTAAATATGATTTAGTATGTGTTAAAAATACCAAAAATGATTAGCAAATATGTATTTTTATTTGACATGTCATTTTCATTTTATCCTGTTAAATTAAATATGATTTAGTATGTGTTAAAAATACCAAAAATGATTAGCAAATATGTATTTTTATTTGACATGTCATTTTCATTTTATCCTGTTAAATTAAATATGATTTAGTATGTGTTAAAAATACCAAAAATGATTAGCAAATATGTATTTTTATTTGACATGTTATTTTCATTTTATCCCGTTGTTATTAAATTCTTGGAAATGCACATGTTAAAGCTTTAAATAAATAGAATTGTTAACATAAGGTAAAGTCAGAATATAACACCCGGCATAAATAAACACTCTTGTATATCAATAGGTATGAGCAGTTATTTTCAGATATTCTGAAGAAATATCGTAGGAATAGTGAGCTGTTTGTACATGTATTAAAATAAGCATGGTCACGTCATGGATTTAAGTGGGAAGTTTGGAGTAATATATGGTTGCAGTTTAAAAAACATTTTCAATGTAATATGTGTAAGATCTTTTATGTATTGTAACAAAATGTCATTGCTGATCATATTTTACATTATTTTTCATGATTTTGTATGCCAGTTAATGCAATCAAGTCTAAAAAATCAAAGATATGTGACTTTTCATTTATCAGTTGTAATTCGTTATTTATTTACTTTGTAGTTCAGTTCATTTTTAAACATATGAAACACTTTTTTAGAAATCATTTGGAATACAACTCATGTTTTGTGTCTTGTGTTGCAGGTTAGACATGAAGGGATCTCCTGCTAAAAGCTCGGACAGTTCTAAGGATACGCCCAAATATGGTGACCTCCGTTCAGTCAGTATGAATCTCTTTGGACATGATGCTGAAGCTCATAGCACTCTGAGGCGTGATAAACCAACACCAGGAACGAATTACTCAGAACGACCTCAGTATTCTTCCCAGAATTCATGGGAGGGGTCACTAGACAGCAGATCATCTGGTGCAAGGTCAAGGTCAGGTCAGATTGAGCAGACGGCTTTTGGGGAATCTCATCAAAGACAGGGTTCTAGAGATAGTATGGACAGTGGACATGGCTGGAGGGGGAGTCACAGTGGATATACAGGCTCACAGGTTGGTTTCAGTTTCATAAATAATTTGTGCCATATGGTGCTGCCCTCTACTTTCTATATTTCAAACTAATCTATGTTCGATGAGGGGTATATAGAAGAAGGGGGACATGGATACCTTGTAACTCACTTATTAGGGGCTAGGTGCAAACCCTTAATGCTTTCTCAAGAAACTTAAATATGTTTAATAGACTCAAACCACATCTCCATTCTTTAAATCTTATGATCTTATCAAACAATGATCTTACATTTTCTCTGAGCTAAAATTTTCTAAAATGAAACTTGACTTTATATGTTCCTTCCCTCAACAAAATCAACAGTTTTGGCCTGGCCCCTTAATTTCACATTTTGACTTAAATTCATGTGTTACCCTGACTGCAATATCCAAACCTTATTCAGTTGTATTTCAAATGATCCAAATCTATTTGTAAGGGAGTATTTCTATGTGGCAGTGAGTCAAATTTAATTTGATGAAAAGAGAACAAAAAATATGTTAAATCGAAAGGAGTATTTTATTAATTATTTTATATGTTTTATCAAGTCAGCGCTTATACCGTAACTCATCTGTCTAGACATTAGATTTAATTTTATATCTTTAGATATTAAACTTACCACATACCCTACTTATCATTTAGCTCTTAAACATTTAACATACAACATGAAAAAACTCACAAGGTCAGATCATTTTTAGCCTAGATTTAAAAAACTGTTATTCAAACAAAAAATGAACATTAAAGTGAATAACTGGATCACATGCAATTTAAGAAATTCCCCTTAACCTTTAGTCAAGTTTATTTACTAAGTGATTTGCTATCTAGAAACTTGCTTGGAGGTAAATAAATATATACAACAAAAGTAGGACAATAAAATATAGATTTTTACTGGTTTGCATACATACACAACTACTGGATTTAAGAAGGATTAGGACTTATAGCAGTGGGTAACACATATTGTTGCATCAGCTAATGGATTTTAATAATTGGAATACATAAAAATTGGAGTTATAATGTTTAGTTTAAAGTTTCAGTTGATCAAAAGTGGGTTTGTGTAGTACAAAAATGAAACACTTTTGCATGTAATTGTATAGATGATGCTGTGTAAAGGTGGTAGATATTTAATGAATAATGATGCACCTTTAATGTACCTGGTGCAGTTAATCTGCACCCAGGCAAATGCTTACTTACTATTAGATCAATCACGATGGAATTATGGGATTGGTCGCACTATTTGAATTCTGGATAATCTGTCAGTGATGCAGACTTATTTATAATATGATGTATAACATACCTAGAAACAGGATTGCATTACAACAATAATGAAGCAATAAAAGCTATGAATAATTCAAAACAGTACCTACTTGTTGTCATTTTTGAAACAATGCTGTTAATTGGTATGTCATACATTGTCTACATGTCACTATCCTGCCATAAATGTTCTGTATGTCCTCAGTAAGGATTATAAGTGATCAGGCTTTGTCCATAAAAACACATACTGTATACCAGGATAATGGCAAAATGTGACATCTAATGAATCAAAAATTCCAATTTAGTACACATCCCTGAAAATGACCCATATTATGGGTTTCAAGAGATCCCATGCCTATATAAATTGAGCATCATATCAGTTTGGGCCATTTTTGTGGTCTGTGTGTTAATTGTAATTGTGTGTGATGTAAATATTAACAAATGTATTAATCATAATTTTATCTTTATTTGGCAAAGGACGTACTAAACCATTAAACTGCATGCTGTGTGTATAGTATAAAGATCTTGGCTATAAAGACCTTGGACTTAACACAAGCATTTGGATGGAGTTTGGCAGACATTCAGGCCTATATTGGGCTTGAAGCATAAATAGATAATATTAATAACATCACTCTTCTAACATAACATGATAAGGTGTTTGTATAAAAACATGGTGAAGGGGACTTTGATTTTTAACATCATTAAAAAATCACAAATTAAGATAAATGATAAGCATGAGAACGGCTTTCACATTATGGGCTTTGGGCTAATTTTCACAATATAACACGGACACCTTATCATTTTGTTGATTTTAGCTTTTTGTGTTACAAATAGGGCGAAGGTTTAAACAAACCGAATCCTCGAAGAACAAAAATAGGTGGATCCACTGAATCACTTGTCAGACGAACAGACGAGCAAAATACTGACACAACGCAACATCGTTTGAACTTTTTGGACCAGATCAAGAAGAACACCAAGGATTTGTTGACCAATCAAAAGCCTCCCAGGCCAGGTCGTAGGTCATTCAAAGAATCGCCAAAGGGCTTACAATCAACTAATATTAACCATTTAGTTAATTCTAGGGAAAATACACCTGATTTTGTGAAACGAACTTTTAGTTTGAATTTACATCACAATTCTTTTAATTCTGACTCCATACAGCAAAGAATAGGTGGCGCTGCTGCCCATACATCACACAGTTCGTCAAACTTAAGCGATCTCTCAACACATTCAGCAGAGGGAGCCAGTAGCAGACATCGTGACATGAGGCCAGGTAAGTTATTCAATTCAGTTCTAAAATCAAATACCCTAAGGAGTCTAAGGTGGTTGAAGGTTTGTAGGTACATCTTAGTCATATCACCTTAATCAAAAGTTAGATACAGTATCATTTAATTGAAGAGTCATGGTTTAGTCATAGTCATAGAAGTGGATACATGTTGAAATTGATACTTCATTTGGACATCAAAAATCCTCACAATACAAGTAAACAAAGATATACATTATACAATATCCTGTAGGATTACATAAATTGTTAAAACAACATATTTAACCAGGGTAAAGTTTTGACTAGTATTGCATTAGGGGCCAGTACAAAATATAATTTTTCCTCAGAAGTAATGTAGCGAAAGGATTTCTCCCTATGTTAAAGCTTACAGACATTGAAATGACACGTCTCCTTTGTTACTTTTAATATTCTATTATAGTGGGTGTAAAAAATGAATGATATTTTGATCCAACCCCTTGAACAATCCCACACTTATAATCAAGATGTAATAGATAAGTTTCTGTATGTTTGTAGATGATCCTCATTTAGGGAGGAGAACCACCCCCTCCCCCGGTGCTAGACGCAAAGGAGGAAGCTACCATACAGGACAGAAAAACTACCTAGATGTCACACAATCTCCTCTAAGTAGCAGAAGTAGCAGCCCACGGACAAAGTATGTTTTAACACTTTGAGTACATTTATAATGTGATTGCCAAAAACAATGAAATATTATCTTGGGAGCAGTTTAATCCATTTTATTATGGGAATAAAATCTTGGTTTATTCGGCTCCTGTTTGTCGCAGTGGCAAGGCAGTGAATACTGTGCATGTAAAGATGGGCAAAATGCAGGAATCATCACTTTTCCACATATTTTGTAGTTTATTTCAAGACAAAGTATATGAAATCAAAGAAAGTCTGGAAAATATATGTTATAAAATGTATGATTCAGCACAGTTCAACACATAAAAGGTTTTGAAAATGTCTGAGTGAACATATAGTATGTGCATAATCATAATGAAATTACATTGAGGTATTTTACTTTTCAATTGTGCATTCAACTTTCAAAACAAAGAAAACCAAAAGTACTAAATTCAATCATAAAATGTTACCGAGATTCCGCCTTTCCATTTGCAGACAACATTCATCTCAGGAGTCATTAACAAGGTCAAGGGGTCAAGGTCATATGACAGGAAGTAATTTGGCGCCATCTGGCACATTCCAAGAGGATCTTATGAGATTAATCAACCCTGATGTACCAGATACAGAACTTCAACAGGTTTGTTTTCATAATTCTGTTTGCCACTGAAGCATAACATTGAAGGAATCTAAAGAATCTCTTAGTAATGTTTCATACCAAGTAGAATAAAAACATTATATCACTACGGATTACATAGGAGTTAGTTAAAATGGGTACTTAACTAAAACAATCAGTTAAACTGCTTATGCCGAACAGTGATGAATCAGATCTATTCTGAACTTCACATACATTGTTTGTTTCTGTGTGTCCATATTCTCATGACATTTTTAGCTCATCCAAATTGCTTTTGTAGACAAATCCAGGTGGGCCATACAGGTTGAGTCGGACCCACTCAGATGAGAGCATAGTTGGAGGGGGCCCCACCAGGGGGACACCGCTGTCTTATGATGCAGACCTTAGTCGAGATGTCTTATTTTCCAGCACACATACCCCTGACTCCTCACCATCCAAGAGGGATATACAAAAGTGAGAATTTTTATTTTTATTAAACAGTGTTAGTTTAAATGTACAATCATGTACTCCTGTCCATGAGGCCAAATTGAGTAGAGCTAGAACACCTCTTTAGGAGGATGAGTGTTTATCTTCAAATGTTGTGTGTATCCAAAAATAAGCTGTATGAGCTTAAAAAGGCACTTCTGGTCAGTCTTTATGTCAACACCAAGAGATGGATACACAGTAGAGGTGTCACGGATACCTGATTTTGTTCCGATCCTCTGAACTAGGCTCTCGGGTCGGAACACGGAACAATTATTCAACATTTCATTAATTTTTGTTTTTCTTCCCAGTTTGAATGTGAGATCTACTTCTAGGACTCGTAGATCTAATTTTTTTATTACCTGTACAAGCTAGATATCCAGTTATTGTACATAGACTCGCAAAATTATGTAGTTTTGTTGCAAATGACTAGATCTCATCTTACTATAAATGGGGCAAGTTAGAGTATAATACAAATAGTCACTTTGTTCCGGAACCATTCCGAACTTGTTCCGTTATGAAGCCAAATGTTCCGAAACGAACCTTTCAGACTTTTTTTGTTCCGTGACACCTCTAATACACAGTATGAGAATTGAGAGCACTGCCCTTTCAACACTTTGAAATCAGACTTGAAAATATAATACTGGAATAGCGTACTTTTGTACTGTAGAGTCATATGATATAGTTAGACTTTCTTAAGGTTTACTGTGTTATATTTTACAACTGGAGCTGCTCTTCATTTTTTGATTTTAATCTTTTAGATCACCTAACAGATTAAAAACTCCAAATAGAGGCCGTCACCAGCAGGGGAAATTACACAATCGCACAAAAAGTAGTCCCCAGCTTCCACTCCCTGACACTGCTTCTGATCTTGATTGGTCAAACCTCGTGGATGCAGCAACAAAGGCAATAGAGGGTGAGTGATTTGGTCGGCATTCTGTGACATGTTAACTAACCAATGAATTGCTTGGAGGGTTGTCTCACATAATATGTTTTGCACTCAGTTCTACATCTAATCAATCTCATTAACTGCTTCAACACCCATTCTCCCTTTGAATGAAACAGTTATGGGTGTGGACATTTTCAAAGATAAATAAATAAATACATGTACTTTTCATATCTTTTTGGTTCACAAAATGGTTTTTATCATCAACCCATTTAACAAAGTTGATTACGTGTAGAATTAATGGGAGTGACATCACCTCATTAACAACAGAATTTTAAAGTGAGGCTGCATATTCATCCACAGAATCTTCAAAAGTATGACATTTTTTTTATTTTGGCACAAAATGTATAGCTTTTTTTTGTCATAAGCATATCTGACATATTGGTAAAAATTGAATTTCGAACGAGTTGTAATACATTTGAAAAATAAACTGGCCAAGATTGAAACTTACTTGCTTTCAGTCTCTGGGCTCATGCTTATGTCACAAACTGATAGGACAATATTGCTTTTCCAAATTCAAATTTTGGACCCCATGCCTATTGTATTAAATAGTTCAACACAACATTAAAGATGTCACTGTGAAACACTGTGATTCATAGCAGTGCTAGATATTCTGCGGATGAAAGTTTGACTTACTGCTATACAGTAAAACCTATGTATGGGAACACTCCTCTAAAGTGAACATCGCTCACTTTATTAATCCAAGTGATTGCTTCAGATAGGTTTTATTGCATTGCTTGATTCATGAGAATGATGGTATCTGCTTCATAAACATTGTGTGTATTCTAAATTGCTCTAACACATTAATAGTCCATAGAAAGAATTAATTGCTTGTGAAACAAAGTGCAAGAATATGTTTGAACCAATTTAATTCAAATGGCAACTGCATTAATAGCAGGATTATTTGGCACAAAGTCCTCAAAGCTGCACAATATATCATTTCAAATCCAAGAGGTTTAAAGTTTGCCTCGCAAAAATGGAAAATTAATTTTTTACACGTTTGCCAAAATCTCCATTTTGCAATTGTTGAAACTGACACGTTTCACCATTTGATGGAACAGCTTGTGAAAAGATGTCACTTTAATAAATCACGTATTGAGAATATTATTGATTGATTCTATTCCAATATTTGTATGGTTCCAATATTCACACGCTGTTATGCTTCATGTTGCAGTTACATAGATTACTCCGCTTTGTACTAATATAACAACTAAATGGCACTTTTAATTAAACAAAAGAAACAAAAAAACATTAACAAATGAAGTATATGTTCATTTAATATCATGGTTGTAAGACGATATATAAACATTTTATTGTACTCTACCCTATGTAGTACTATTCAGGCTTCATATCAGATTGATGAAACAACAATACAAATGATTGTTTAATAATCGAGCTAGAACTGTCAAATTAAATGATTCAAAAGCATTTTTCCACTTAGGATTATGCACTTGATTAAGGCCATCGACACCACTAGAATTTTTAATGAACAACCAAATTAGGTTTAACCATGATATTATATGTACATTTATGAGTAGTCTTATGCCACATAAGGGAACCTGTGCTTACTGCTTCGGTATTTAACATATTACCATGTTCATAGGCAAGTAATGCTATCTAATGCCCTTTGAATTTATGACAGTATATGCATATTTCAGAAAATGACTTCCTCAAGTATCTTCCAAGTATTACTGGTATAGGTTGGTCGAATATTGCTGATTCTGGGTTTATATCAGGTGAACCTTCAGGTGAACCATTAGTTTAAAAACCTTGGTGTAGTGGAGTTTTATTCATGTTTAGACACCCTGTGCTTTGTTTAAGCATGTTTGTGGCTACAATTTGAGGCTGTTTGTTTTTGCTTTAAAGCTTGTCTGTTGCTTCATTGAGTTCAGCTTGTTTGGTGTTCCATTTTGGAATGTCCATAGCTTGTTTCTAGGCAAATGCATTTCAAGCTTGTTTAACCATAATGGCATCTTGATTCACAAGGTTTCAGTTGCTCCAACATGGAAGTTCAAGATGTCATCTTGGCGAATTGGTTTGAACATCACAGTAGCTGCCTATGTATGTAAAAGTGTAAAAGATGTGTTTAAGTATACTTACATTTCTCAAAGAAGAGATAATATATTTTGCCTTGTCTAAGAGGTGGGATGGAAGAGAAAATACTTAACTTCAGTCAGAAGGCAGGGATAAATTATTTCATACAAGGGGTTAGATAAATTATCTCATAATTGCATATTTACCCAACTATCACGTCATATCAGTGCCGTGTATTTGATCCCCAAGAGAAATCTTTTATGAACTTAATTCTCTTGCATTTTTTCATTTAGAGTATTATATGGGAGCATATTTTCCCAAAATTATTTCAAATTTTTATGGATTGTATTGGAACTAATTAGTTCAACCATATGTTATACACTTTCCATTTTCACAGCATCAAATGCATTAGAAGAGTACTCTCAGATATTTTTTCTTCACCATTTACTACAATTAGTTCATTATTGATCTCTAGCTTATTATTTCAAGCATCAGTGGCATTATATAGCGAATAGGGTATTGACATTAGAGAGAGATAAATAGCCATCCTTAATGCAGGTGTAGGTGTAGTCAAGCAGGAAGTCATTCAAAGTCTAAAAATCATGTCATAAAAACACAGGGAAAAAAACGTTATAAACATCCTCCCCCGCCTCAAGGTTAATTTAGAAATAGAGAATGTATATATAGTATAGTGTTTCAATAGGGAAAACAGGAAAACGTAATTGTAATAATATTTAGTAAAATGTAAATCCTATTGTTCTTTGTTTGCTTTTTTCTTGCTTTTGTAAACATGTTTATATGTATTTGTATATATTTATTCCCCTTTACTCATTCATTCAGTTTTAATGTTTCTTTGGAAGTTATGTCAAGCATGTGAACTTTTGAAGTTAATGAGAATATTCGCAATAGCTAAATGTCTTCACCATCGGTTAAAAGTAAGTAAAGCAATGGATTACATTTTTATGTCACCACCAGAAGTGATGACATATTGATATTTGTCTCCAACTTTTTAATGGACAATGTTTGGCATTCAGCAGTCGGCATCTGTAGCAGGTGGTGAAATTTTGCATGTTAATACCTTGTAAACAATTAAAAAATCAAAAATGCCATTGTATAACATCACATTGTACTGTAACAAAACAATAAAACAAAGTTTTTTTACTGTCAAAATGAAAAAGTAGCTGTGCAGTAGATATGAAGTACTTTTGAATATTGAGTTAACAAAGTATATTGGAATCAAGACTGATATGGATGTTTGTTTCTGATACTCAGCTAGTGAGGCTAGATTCTATTAGCATGCTTCTTCATGTATTTACACTCAGGATATAAATGGATTAGCTCCTCTAGGAAAATAATTGAGTAGTTGAATGTTGGAATCATAGACAATTAGTTGAAATTCCTGTCAGAAGACATTAAAGACTAGTATAGATAGTGAATAGGATTTCCTAAGTGTAACATGTCAGAGTTGAAAGTATTGGAAAGATTTTTATTTTAGGCAGGTGTATCTACTTTAAACCCCTTGGTTGTTAATGTCAGCTAAATTGTTATTATGCATATTGGTATTACCATAGTAGAAATGGGGCGTTTTATGTGTTGGTATCACTGCAGTGCAAATTGGGCATTTTATGTGTTGGTATCTCCATAGTGCAAATTGGGCATTTTATGTGTTGGTATTACCACAGTGCAAATGGGACATTTTATTTTATTGGTATCACCATAGTGCAAATTAGGCATTTTATGTGTTGGTATCACATAGTGCAAATGGGGCATTTTATGTGTTGGTATTACCACAGTGCAAATGGGACATTTTATTTTATTGGTATCACCATAGTGCAAATTAGGCATTTTATGTGTTGGTATCACATAGTGCAAATGGGGCATTTTATGTGTTGGTATTACCACAGTGCAAATGGGACATTTTATTTTATTGGTATCACCATAGTGCAAATTAGGCATTTTATGTGTTGGTATCACATAGTGCAAATGGGGCATTTTATGTGTTGGCATTACCACAGGGCAAATGGAGCATTTTATATGCATTGGTACATGTATTACCATGGTGCGAATGGGGCATTTTATGTACATTGGTATCACCAAAGTACAAATGGGGCATTTTATATGTATTAGTATTACCATAAGGCAAATGAGGCATTTTTATATACATATATTGGTATTACCATATTGCAAATGGGGCATTTTTGTGTTGGTATCACCATAGTGCAAATTGGGCATTTTATATGTGTTGGTATCACCATAGTGCAAATTGGGCATTTTATGTGTTGGTATCACATAGTGCAAATTGGGCATTTTATGTGTTGGTATTACCATGGTATAAATGGGACCTTATTTTTTTTTTTTTATTAATCATTTTTATTTCAAGTTCATATATTATAACATTTAATTTCATACAATGAAAATTCAACAAGGTTAATCAATTTAACATTTGTGTTGAACTTCGAAGTAAACATACCATACACTTATATGCAATACAAATTTGTTACAATTATTCGTAACTATTCATATATAAAAAAAAAGGAAAAAGTACAATTAAAGCTGATATTGGAATGCTTTACAAAAAAAGGTGTGCAGTGGTGTAAATTATGGGATGGTGTAATATACATGTTAGTCAATCTTGGTTGCTTGTAGGAATTTTAAAGTTGCTTTCAGCAGAAGTGTATTATCTTCATTACTAAGTTCACTGTTACCATGCAAGAGCATATTTACTTTGCTAACAGAGTTAGCATCTAAGAATTTTTCTAAACAACCAATAATATGGAGATCTATAAGTAGTTGGATTCTATCATTTACAAATTGGGGGCATTTGAGGAAAAAATGAGTAGGGGTTTCATTTTCATGACCACAGTTACAGGCTGGTGAGTCAATGTTTGTAAAGTGATGAGCAAATAATTGACTTTTTAGAAATAGGTCCACTTTTA